AAGAAGAAGAAGAAGAAGAAGAAGAAGAAGAAGAAGAAGAAGAAGAAGAAGAAGAAGAAAAAAGACCAAAAAATAAAAATGCTGCTAAAAAAAAAGATTCGAAAAAGAAGAGTTCAAAAAAAAATAGTGATGAGGACAATACATCAAGTGACGAAGTTGAGAATAATGCAAAGGATAAAGGAAAGAAAGGTGCAAGTAAAACAAACGCTAAAAAAAATAATAAGAGTCCAAAAATAAGCAGTGAAGAAAAAAATAGCGATGAGGATGAAATATCAAGTGATAAAGGCAGGAAAAATGCGGGTAAAAAAAATGGTAGTCCGAAAAAAGAGAAAGATAGTGGTAGTGGTAGTGATGCAGATGACGGTAGTGGCGCAGATGACAGTAATGGTGCAGATGACGGTAGTGATACTGGAAGTGGTAGTAATGAAAGTGGTGTTAGTAATAATGATGGAAGTAGTAGTTTTTGAGGTTCTTTGATATTAGCTATAGTTTATAAATATTGAAATAATAAAAATTTAAATCAAAATGATATTTTACTGGCGGCGAATAAAACGAAAACAAAATATTAACATTTATTATATGATGTAGATAATTTATTAAAAATATTATTGCTAATATTAATAATATTAATCTATGACAATAAATATGTTTTAACTTTTAATGCAATATTAATTTTTTAATAAAAATAACGACTTTGTTATTAAATTATACGGTTTGTAAATAAAACGGCTAGTCATAGTTCTTAAATGTTTGTTACTCTCGCTGTCCAGCACTTTAAGACTATCTAAAAAACTCATTTCAGCTTGTTTAACAAATTTAGACACCATAATCCATATTAGTCACTCATTGCGCCAGGTCAAGTCAAAATAGCTTACAATAGTAGTTAGTTATAGATAATTTCACGTTTTCATAGTTTTACATGAAATACTAAATGTCAAAAATTAAACGATCAATTGATATTTAAAAAAAAAAAAAAAAAATGTCATTTACTTATAACTTTTTTTGTTTCTATCAAACAAATTATCATAAGTCTTTAGAGGACTTAATAAAATAATCGTGTAATAAATTATTTTATCGTAATGAAATAATAATGAAATATTAAAATATATTGTTAAATTTTGACATTTTAATGAATATAATGTACAATATAATGTTCGTATAGTTATAAAAAAAAAAAAATAAATAAATAAATATGATATTTTGTTATTTAACTCTAATATACTCACAATGTATTTATTTTTTATATATTTTTTATTATACTAATGGTTTTTATACAATGTATGTATTTCTTGTTCGAGACGTATTTAATAATTACGACTAAAAATGTTTGTTGGTTTTAATTAACATAAGTTTAACTATGAAAATTATTCAGTTATATTCTGTTGTATAATTATTACCGTATTTTCTAAAGCTTACATTTTTTTAATTAAAAATTATGATACATATCTGTGAATTAACGATTAACAGCTTACTTATTAGTCATTATCAATCACAAGACGTCATATAATTTATATCAAATCAAAATGAAATATTTGTTCATAATTTTTTTTGGACGTATTTTATTTTTGTTTATCGATTAACACGTTACTTAAACTATTGCATAACATTTACAAATAGCAAAATATTCATTCTAACATTTGAGAACGTTATCAAATATTATTATTATTGGAATTAACTATAGTAAAGGATGCGATAATATTTCTGATCTTAATTTAAAAAAACGCAATTACAAAACGTGTATTATAAATATTGTAATAGATATTTTGGACCAGCAGTAGTCTAGCACTACAGTAAATAGTGACATTTCCACTCTCGTTAAGTGACAAACTAAATTGATGTGTATTTTTTTTGGATTGTTTGGTATATAAAAAGTTATACTGGTATTTTATTTGCATGTTTCATCATTCAATATGTCTATTTGGATCGCGCATAATAAAATATATGTAGTTTTATGCATTAGGATGTATATATATATTGATTTTTTACCCGTATATATTTTGAAAACCATAATTTAAAATAATATTCAATGAGCATAAAAATAATATAGGTACATACATATTTTATTAACATAAACGGGACATATATCAGTGGACTATGAATGTGAGCAAGTCAGATGTGCGTTTTAATTTAATTCCTCGTCTCATATTACGCGCTGCAGATTTAATGAATATATAGAGTATAACATACAATATGTAATATTTTAATTATAATATGTGCTTCAAATATCGAATCATTAATTGTGATATTGTGACTATTATAGGCTTATAATGTGTATATAAAATATAGTATTTTATAATAATTAATATTCATTTTCATTAATAAGCATGTTGACCAGAAACGGCTGGTTATTGGTTAGTAGTTTATTATTATAAATTATATAATATTAAATACTTTCACAAAATAGAATTTGAAATCCCGATATCCCGTCTCAAAATGCGATCCATAGTGTACCACTAAAAATCAGTAATTGCGAACTAAGCAATCGTGACTTTTCTTTAAATTGATGCAGGAACGTGTATTATTGCAACTTATGTATTGAACGCATCTAAAGTGATATTACGTCAAATCATCGTGTAAAAAAATATTATTAAAATTTTTATCACTGCTAATAAACCCAAAACTGTAATACGTGAAATTCCTTTGGAAAGTGTGAGTTAGTGACCAAAAATTCTCATATCGTCTCTATTCTCTCTATGCATTTCACGTTTCTGCAAAAAGAATGAACGATATTTCTCCGACCCGTGACTGAGACCTCACGTCCAAAAACCATCTTATAATGATCACGTCCCGCGACACCTATAATTCTTGTTGTACTGTTTTGGAAAATTGCATATTACTTCTGGTGGTCGAGAAAAGTGAAAACCACGGAACGTCGTGTACCGTGGTTAGTGTTATGATACGTATTTTGTGTTCGTGCTATGATTATAAATATAAAACATTTTCTCAGAAGCTGCCAGATCCGAACTCAATTTTAGTAACTATATAATTAATAAATAGGTATTTATAATTCGCTCAATTGTTAATTTTAATTATTTGAATCGTACATATACGTTCGTTAATGATTGATTATTAAAAGCACCTAGAAAAAATTATATAAACTTTAATATTCTCGATGTTTAAATTTGAAAAATTACAAAGGCAATGTTTAATAATGACGATTTATTACTTTAGATTGATTCATAAAATATTAGTTCAATTTTTATCCATGACTTGAATAATTATATTTACGTTTTGTACAAAAAAAATCTTTGCCATTCTTCTTTTACTGTATCATTTTATGCTATTATTTAATTTTTTTGATTTAAATAAAAAATAGAATTTTCGTAGTTTCAAATTCTATAAATGTAATTTGTTGTATTAATTATTAACATTGTGTAAAGCATTATTGTGATAATTAATTTTAATTAAATCAAAAATATTGTTCTTAATAGGTTTAACAACAAAGATTCCATCATTTTATTTTTAATTATTCATCATTGGCTTCATAATAAATTATTATTTTTGCAAGGAGTCACAATTTACAATAATTTCAAATGATTGTCAGTAGTTTTGGAGTTTAAATAATAACATTCAGTTGAAAATTTATTGTTTTATTTTAAATCATAAAAAATCGTTAAATGTACAATATAAATCGTACAATCAGACGATAAAGCTGTTAATACTAACAATGGCATGTTATGCTTATTAATAAGTAATAACTATCATAGGCTATAATATTGTTGCTTTTATTAAAATACTAAATACTAAATAGTAAATATAAAATATTGTTATTTCAACAAGTATTTTATATTATTTACTTGGAAATAAGTGATAACTCATAATTTAACAATAATTATTATTAATTAAATGTATGTAAAAATATTAATGATTGTAAACAATATTTAAATTTATCATAATTTAATAATTATATATTTTAGTATGTACACATTGTAGATACACTTTATCTGCCTTTCTGCCTTTATCAGTTGCCACCCAATTCACGTACACTGAAACATCTTAAAACATCTTACCGCACAAAACAAATAACACTAATAGTTACTACCTGTACATAATACTCAATAAGTTCGAGGGTTTTATCCAAATTATATTGTTAATTAAAACATATATATTTCATTTATTTATTTGAATAAATTTATTAATAACTCTATAATATAATACGATATTTATTTGAGTAAAATTTAATGCACTGAATTTAACTCATCAAACCGTTCATTAGTTTAAAAACTGTGATAACTGATACAATTAAATCTTTATGCAGGTTAATACTCATATAATATGTCTTATGTTATGATATTTGTATTCATTTAATCACATACTGTTGAGCCTTATATGTATGCAAGCATTAAAGATTATAAAATAGTAAAACATAAAAATCCTTGTTTTCTATCTACTTAACATATAATTTTAATTTTGAAGTTGTAACAAAATCGTACTACTGATACTTATAATTTTTGCGGTATTAGCACTTAGCAACATTTTGAACACCTTAATGCAAAATCTTTAATCCATATTTTATTTATCTCAACAATATTATTCGTACTTAATATTTTAAACATTAATTTACTACGTTTACCAATACGATTTATTTTAAATTGTATTTGAGTGTATTTTGGATTTTTTTTGGAATTGAACTATCTACACAATTATTATTCAATAAGGTACATAATTTATTATTTCGATTATATTATACTTAATTCATTTTTAACTGACCAAATGTATAATAACTGACAATTTAAAACACATAAATACGTCTAATAATATTTCAATGTCAAGATTTCCGTTTTTTTGTATTGCTTATTGCTTACATACCAGAAGAATTATTTAAAATTGTTTTTACTTGTATTAGTAAGTATGAATATGATATAATAACGGCCGTTTATCTATAAAATAATTAATAATAATTAATTTAGTAACCACACAAAACAAATATTTCCCAGTAGCTTATTTATAACACACATTAACAGATTTTACTCAAACGTATATTTTTCTTTCTTTCATAATGTCACATAATATTTTTAACGATATTAACTTGAGTTATTTTTATAGTTTATACGTAGTAAGATTCAGTCATCAGCAGGTTAGTTGTAATAATCATTACTTGTTACATGATATTGAATTGCTTGTCTGTTTAGTAACCAATTGTAATAAATAAAGTAAATATGTATTTATTGAAAACATCAATCCCTATCAAATCCATTTTCAGGAAAGACAGTTTATAAAAAAGTAAAAAATCATTCAGTGAAAAATGAACAGCCATTTCAAGTATGATGACAATAATTTACAATAATTTTATGTCAAGTATAACAGATGAACACGTGAAAAACATCTATATAAATTACTCGTTACAGGGAAACTTTAAAATGAATGCATTCGTCTGCAAAACGAGTAGATTATTGTGTGACTTTGATGTTTCGAAGTTAAAATCACGAGTTGGCTTTTGCCGTAATAAAAAGATAAAATAAAGTTCACGCCTCTGAGCACTAATACAGTTCACATAGTAGTGTCCAGCGAGAGATGGACTAATCATCCGGTCATTTTGAAGTGAAACTTTCGAATTAAATCTCAACGTATGTCGACGTCGCAGTCATGGTGCAACTCAAGCTTTACTCATTCGCGATCAATAACTTGGCGAATTTGTAGAATGAAATTGTCTAATATATATATTATATAATATTATTAAAAAAAATCGTATCGTCTAGGACGACGATTGATTTTTCATAAAACGTTTTATGATGAAAACGTTTTTTTTTTTTCTGTATGTACCTACTTATTATGTACACTACTGTCACTACTGAAAGATCGAGTATGCGGGATGACTGGGAATGTAACAGCGCTTCAAGGTTTAGCCAATAATGACTGGAACGTAGGTATCAAATTTGATTTTATTCACTATAAATGATTATTATACAAAGATACACCTCCGCCCAACTCTCTCGCTTTTTGAAAAATATTTTCCGGAACGGTCTCAACATAGTTTGTGCGTAACACTACACACACGCGCTCGCCCGCACACATCCACAACATACTCGGCTGCTCGAAAATCAATATACCGACACGCCATACATACATATTTTACTCTTGCGTCACGTTGTTCTTCGGGGTAGGACAATCGATATATACCCTCCACGTCCAAACAGTGGCGGGGATTCGGTGGATGTCGGCGGAGAACGAGCGGCACGGTGGAGAAGTAACGAAAAGAGGGGCGTCCTCGGTCGCGGAAGGCGCCCCGTAGCGGCCACCGCCCAAATCGGTGTATAGTCTGAGCGGAAAAATCGACCGCCGCCGTCGTCGGGAAAACCGGGCAGTGTGCGCGATAAAATTCACGGTGTTCCCTCGTCCAAGCTCGTCGCCGTCGTCCGCGCTCGACAACCGTCGCGCGCAACGTTCCCCATTTCGTATAGAGGTGTTCACTGACGGCCGTCTTCCGCGAGTCTCTTATCGTAGTAAGGCGTCGACGTTGGGTTTCACGTTTACGATAATTTTCGACCCCACCGTCGCCATCCCCGACGAGGCGTCGTTTTCGAGTTTCGACGTCGTTTTTGGGTTTGTTGTTACCTATTTTTTTTTTATTTTTTTTTTTTTTTTGCCACTTCGCGAGACCCAATGTCGTTGGGTCGAGTTCAGTCCACCGCAAATGCCACGGCACAAGTAAGAACCGTACAGAGTACATAATATGATATTAATGTAAAGTAGCTTAGATTTGTTTTATTATCTATTATCATTAGTATTATTATTGCTATCGATACTCTTAGTTTGTGTCGCGTGTATACCTGCGACCAATGTCGGTTTGTCCGGGTTGATATACGATAGTCGACGAAAAAATTTAAACTGTTTTCCGGCTTTGAATTCGGCCAGGTTTGGAGCGTTTGTGTGACGCGGAAAACGTGAAGAAAAATTATATTGCGTAAAAGACGCCGCCGTCGATGTCAACGCGAACCTTATATAGGTCACTGGGCAAGGCGTGCGCACGTATATACATATATATTATAATATAACGAGACGACGGGACGTGTCGCGCGCGCGCGCATCACACACAAATTCACGACCTTCACTTTGTAAATGATTATATATCGTCCGGATTTAAACTCGAGTGAATATTCGTTACAATCGCTCTAACAAACTTTCGTCGTGCATTTTATTTACATAAATATATAAATATATATTATATAAACAGGACGGCTGGAAGAATTGAATATGAAATAAAATTACGATTTATTATTGTCCGTCTCCGCTAAAACACATATATAATACACAACGCACGCACACTCCGTGGTATATTGTGTTTTAACACCATTATCGTTGAGTTTCTACGGATGACTACATTTTTTGATTTGAGTGTTTGCGCCACAAAAAAAAAAAAAAAAAACGAATAATTGCAGGATTCATATAATATTGTCATGTCCGCCGTCCGTCGGACATTCGGTCGATTGACTCCACTATGCAATTAACATACTATCGTAATGGCGTATAATGCATATTATAGGGTATCAGTGTATATGTCAGTGTTATCGGTAGCTGGTATAATAGTAACGATAACGAGTATTATACCGCTATTGTAATGTACCTATTATTGTTTGTTCGATCGTTTACGAAATCGATTACCCGTCACGCGCAGTATACCATCCTACTTTTACTATCATACATAGTATATACTATGGTATAGGTCAGGCACTTTAGCGTATCATCAATTACTACTGAAAAAAAAATAAGCCTAAACCCCTAATTTTGTGAGAAAAATAAATGATGAAATCTTCAGGCTTACATGTCGTCGAATCGGTCCCTTTTTGGAATCGTCCATTCAAGCGGTACTACTTATTGTATTTAAGCAATATTACACCAATGCGATACTTTACAACAGGTACTTATATAAATAACCACATCCATGTCGACGAAATATTTATCATTTTTATTAATACCTATGTTAATTATTTATTATCGAAGTTTTAAGCTCATCAGCTTTCGCATTTAACTGTTTTACGTACATTGATAAACCAAGAGCTATTACATTTTATAGTACTTATGTTATTATTCTTATTTAAAAAATTACAAAACATTAAACTTTTTTTTTTTAATTTCTGAACAAAAATATATTCAACGCATATTATAACGTAAGTAATGCTAACAATAACAATAATTAATTGATAATCACTCGGAGAATTGAAAATTGAATACGTTTTCGAGTTTTATTGTTTATGTTGAAAGTTTGAGACAGTTGCAGATTAAAATTAATTGATAACTTTTCTGGAGTTTTTGCTTAAACTTAAATACATTTGTTATTATCTTATATTCTTATATAATATAGGTCAAATAAAATAATATACGTCCTCAGTGTGTGTGTGTGTGTGTCGTGCGAAGTGTGCACGGATAATCATTATTTAAATACACATCATTATATTATATCAATATTTTGACAAAAAAATTATGATAATATACCGTGAACGTTTCTGTACCTTCTCCAATTGGTATTATATTTGCGTATAAACAAAACAATGTGTCAAGTTCTACAATGTAAATAGCTTAACAATCCTGACGAAATAAAACCCATTCACTGTCGTGTAAGAAACAGCCACCAATAGGCAATAAGTTCAAAAATAATTTTTTCTACGTTATCGTTGTTTTTGTCCAGTAATTTTTTACTCGCAATTCTACTGTCTGTCGTTTACACACGTCTACCGTACAGTGATTGATTACTAACCTAACTTTTCGACAAGTTCTTTCGCTCTTCCGTGTCACGGGCCCCTTCTCGTAAATTGCTTTAAAAGAAAATTCGAAATGCAACTGATCAGAAGTAGGTATTTACTATCTTTTTTTTTGTACACATAATTTGAGGGCTTTAAAAACACACTATATGAATATATTAATATATATCAAAACATTTTAGCGTGTAACTGCATTATATTTTAAACTCTTGAATAAAATGAGATTTTGTACTCTCTATACCCACGTTAAATAAATTATAATATTTATATTAAAGATTTAACAAAGTGTACGATGTATTACTTGTACAAATGAAAATTGATGATTTTTTAACTCGATCAAGGCGTCGAACAATTACATACGCATGGCATCATTTAAACATAAAATTAGGCGTATTATCCGACTTCGCTTGGGTTGAAATTAATATATTTTTCCACCGTTTTCTGTTTTGCTTCAATTCAAATATATAACAATATAAACACTATTCCACTTCTTAATTCTAGATATATTTTTTACGTTAACATAAAAACTGTGGATAGGTTTAACGAATGATTTTAAACCGACATAAATCTAATATAGTTAAGATTGGTATTCGTCTTTATGTGTTTAGAATGTTTGGATACAGGGAAAAGATGCCAAAAATTAGGAAAATCTAATCACGATCGTAAATCATAAAAGTATAAAATATTAATATTATGATGATCATGATCATAAATATATTTAATTCTTTTTTAAATATATTTGTAAACATTTTTCTATACCGTATTTTTACTACTACTACTACTAATAATAATACTATAAACTGTATACCTACTCAATGGAAACCATATAAGTTATTGAAAACTATACATCAGTTCATAGGTCTAAAAAGGACAAACAAACATTCATTTTTATAAATTTAGATAATAATAGTAATAATACAATGCATCACTAATATTTACACACTATTAAGCTACGTATTTGTACTAGGTAGTAAGTTAGTGTATTAAATTATTATGAATTTAATCAAATTAAATGACGTGTAGCACGAATGTCAATCATTATTAATTTATTCTCACATTCTTTGAAATGATATTTAGTTCTTAGCTCTTGGTAATTCAAAGATATATTATATCGATATAATATTATTTCTGCAATCGATTTTTATTGAAATTTCCATTTCTCCTGCACAGTTGAAGAAAATAGCTCGAATCTCTGTACAAATTGAAAATAAAACTTATTTCGAACAAATGTAATAATTGTAATTTTATTGTTGTCGGTCCAAACAAAATTGCGTTTCGTTTATATTAAATACAACAGCCGAGGTAAACATAATTTTCATTCGTATTTCTTTTCGTCGGTTTATCAGTTTAATTAGACCTGTGAGTCGTGATTTTTCTCATAATAATAACAACCAACGACACAGTGGTAAACGGTTTCCAAACGATTACTTTTAATTTTAATTTTCCTACTAACGATCGTGGTACCAGCCCGACGAGACAATCTTTTCCCCGATTTCTGGGTTATCGTCGTTAAGTCTGCGTTATCTTTCGAGCACACGCCACCGCCAACACCACAATAAAAATTATTATTAATTGCCCAACTGGCAGTTATCGGACGTGAACACGTATTACGACATTTTAGACACACACGTTGCGTGCAATCGACGATTGTCGTCAATGATCGTCGTAACGTCAATATTATTAATGATACACCGCAATATAATATAATATATATATAATATTATGTCAATACTCTCCAAACGTTTCATAAAAAAATTCTTTTGCATGATAATATACCCAACTGTTAACTTTATTACCGTTATACGTAGAACTTTGGTCGCATTTACGTTGTTTATTAGAATTTGGACTGTAAACGGCAGTAAATTTCTCATAAAATACACACACACCCACACAAATAATATATATATATATATTATGTATTATATGCATAATATTTATACGTATCGTACTATGTATCCCTCCCGTTGGCGATTTTTTATTTTTCTATTCACCGCCGCGTATTCTATTTTGGGATCCCGTCGTGAGATCGGTCAATTGGTGAACAAAACAGTACTGCGGCAGCAACAGCAGCAGCAGCAACATCGTGTCCGTCTCTCGTGTCAACAATAATAACGCTAATAATAATAATAATAATAATAATAATGTCGTAATGATACGTCATGATCGATGTGTGACGACAGTGCCGTTGGACGCGCGTCCAACGGATGATCGATTATAATAAATAACGATATAATAATATTATACACAATAATACGATCTATATCGTCGTAAACCCAACCGCACACCATATCCGACCGGCGACGACGTGACGTTTCGCGCGGTCGTATTTGGGAGGTGTTTTTTTTTTTTTTCATTTTTTTTTTCGTTCGTTCGTTCGCGAAAATCCCCATTTGTTTTTCCGCGCCCGGCCACTTCCCAGCAACGAAGGTTTCCATTCGCGATACACGCCGCTGCCAGGACCTGAAGAAATCGTAGTGTTATACGGAACATAATATTAACGCGGTCGCCGATCGATTTTTCGATTATTACGGTACGTAAACGCCGCGGTATTGCGGCGCACGCAACAATAATTATTATTGTCACACTGTCTTATCGTTTATCACGTCGTCCGGGCGAGTCGCTTAAATGCGCCAAGTGCCGCGCGAACGGGCGCGTGCGGGTTTCCCCGCGGCGGCTGTGGCATTAATCGCACGACGCGGAAAACTCGCGGAAACTCCTCCTCGGTCGATAAGCGCGTAGACTGCACACGCGACGCGATCCGCAGCAGTGCCGTCCATGACGACATTTTATCAGTTTTGCTCGGCATCGACTCAATCCGTACTTTTGCCACAAACACACACACTCTAGACCAGTGGTCGGCAATAGGCGGCCCGTGAAGGAAAAAAAATTGGACCACGAAAAACATTTTTTTTTTTTTAATAATGCTGATTTTCCACACATAATATTATATATTTTATCTATTTTATGATGTACTCAGAGATTACGACGGTGTTTATCGTTTATTGCTATTCACAATAATAGTTGCGATAATACAACAATTATTAACTAATATCTGAGTTTTTAGTTTTTACTGGCCCTCGAAATTTTTTTTTTTTTTTTTGATTTTTTGGAATAGAATTTAGTTGCCGACCCCTGCTCTAGACATTAATAAATAATACTATGCGGACGGTTTATCAATCCACGGTGGCATTTTATTATTTTATTATTTTATGATTTTCCGACATTTTTTTTGTGAACGCGTTGCATTGGCATGATATTATTCGCTATGTTTGCGTACCACGTCAAATGCACAGCGTACTAGATCAGTATTGTTTATCCGGAAAGCGTTCGCGTCATAGTTCGTAATATTAATACCTATAATACCACAGATTATCGCAGTCAGTGCACGCTACATCTGACAAACGTATATTATAAGTATATCGTATAATCGAACCGATTCAAACGCGCCGCCCAGACCGGCGGACTTTTCTCTTCAACAACATCGTCTGCTGTGACTATAAATCCGTTACGTCGTTTGTAGGCTTATCGATCGATTGTTTTTGACCGTTGTCGTTTCTGATAACGTGATTAGCTTTCATAGAATCGATTTTAAAAGCGGGGAAATCGCCTATTGAGCAACATCTATAAAAAAAAAAAACAACAAACGTGACAAACACAATGAAAATCATTTTTAGCTTAAAATAACACAACAATGTACAACTGTACTATTTGCTTGAAAAAAAAAACTCCAGTATAGTAGTACAATTTTTATAACGTGACAGAATGACAAATTTTGTCGTACCTACCTGAGTAAATAATAGCAAAGGTGGGCAATGGGCATTAACTAATTAGTTTATTTTTTAATCGACTTATAGACTTAAGTAATTTAAATTGACAGTTTAAAAAATTAGCTTTTTGCACTTGATATTAAATATTGTTTTGATAAAATTATAAATTATAAAAGTATTTTTTTAATGTTTTAATATGACCTTTAATTGCTATTTTATACGAGTACAAAAAATAATAATATTTGCTAAATTATTAATTTTATTAATTTTATATGTGTATAGTTTAAATTAATAAATGATATATTAAGTAAAATATAATATACAATGTACATTATGATAAAAGTTTAATAATTTTTTTTTTTTTTTAGAATTTAGTTTAAATAAGAAAGACACAGTCACTCTTTATAAGATTTATATTCTAATTAAAAAAATTGTTTAACTTTTTTTTAAACTAAGTTAAATTAATAATTTTTCCATATTAAATTTTAACTTATCGAGTTAAATCTATAGTTTATTAACAGTTATCTTTTAACGTATCGATTTTGTGTTCTTTTAATTTAACTTGAGTTAATTATTTTTATTAACTTGCCCAACTTTGAATAATAGTGTTAGTACATACTTTTGTTTTATAATTACTATTTACTATTTACACAACAGGATGAATAATACAAATGTAAAACCCTATCAAGACAACGTTTAAAAATTATATTCTAAATTAAAGATTAAATTAATAGTAGCCTTTTAGGATATAGAATTAATATTTAATCATATTTTGATATTCGTGATACGTGTATAAACAGCTACGTAACTATTTAAGTTTTAGTTATTTTATTTATTAACTTGTGTGCAAATATGCAATTAACTATTAAAAATATTTTTCAAAGGTTTTTAAACGTAAAAGATACAAATTAAACACAGTTTTTCTAAAGTAAATTATTTTGAATGAGCGCGCTAATATAATAAAATATTATTTCTTGATTCTTGGCTTCTTTATTAATGATTAAAAATAAAGAACAAAAAGTTGCCTAATTTATTGTTCTCGATTAAACGTTTTACGTCATGGTGGTTTTTGTGATTCAATCAACAAGCAATATGTAAAAAATGTATTCATATATTATATAGATATTATAATTAATATGTATAATATATGTTATTTATGCAAGATTTAAAATGGACTATGTCCGAGAAAAAATAAACAAATATAAACGCTATAACGTGTATCAGTTTTATTTTACTCATCATAATTCACGGGCAAATCAGCAACGGTGCACTTTGCTTTGTAAGCTAATTCGACCGAAATAAGAAATCCACTTTTGATGAATTGGATATAGCACTTTAAAATATGATTGAATTTCTCTCCACACTTTTCTGATATACTTATAACATTCTCAGACATTTTTGTAAAAATCAGTGGAATAGTTTTTGAAAATATAAGCTACAGACATGCATTTATTTATATACAAATCTCTTTTATTTCTGTAACCAATGGTGACACTATATTTCATAAATTAAAAAAAATTTAATTTTCATGAGCCAAAATATAATTCCTGTAAAAAATACTACAGCAACCTTTATGGATTGAAAAATGAAACTAGAAATACTCCCTGAGTCCCGAGGTTAAGTCATATAATATTTTCCAAAATTACGTTATACACTATTTATTTTTTTGAATAAAAATAAGAACCAAGATCAAATAAAATTACTTTAATAATTACTACATTTTAATGTTATACGCATTAAAGTAGACGTGTTATATTAAATTTTATTTAATAGTAATTATTAGAATTATTATTTTACATATTATTGTGATTATTTCATAAATAACAGAAATATTTTTATTTTTATTTAGAATCATCAACCAATCACTTATAGAACATGCTGAAAATACACAAGGGACTAAAAAAAAAGAAGAAAAATAAGAAAAATAAACATAAAGAAGAAGAACTTTTCAACGAAGAAGAACTTGAAAAATATCGTCGAGAACATCAAGCGGGTAAAGTAGCCGAAAGTGAAATAGACGGCCAAGAAGAGTGGCAGAAATTTAAAGCAATTACTGCTGGAATCGATGATGTCTTAAAAAAAACACAAGGTGATCTTGATCGTATCAAAACAAACAGTTTCTTTCAAAGAAAACCTACACAGACTGAACTCAAAGCTGTCGAAGATAAACTAGAAGCGGAAAAAAAGGCAAGAATATTAGAAGAAGCCCGCCTAAAAGCTGAAGCGGAGGCTCTAACTGCCGCTAAAGCAGCAGAAGAAGCAGCGGCTTGTGCGCCAGCTGAAGAAGAGTCGTCATCAGAAGATTCAGAAAATGGTGATGATATATTTGACACTTCTTACGTCGATGTTATAACAAGTGGAGAAGTAAAACTTGCGTACATTCCAGAAAGTCCAACTGAAGAAAGTACAGAATTTGATCCATTTGATACATCTATAGTAGACAAAGTTATCCAACCTAATCCATCTAAGAAAAACAAAAGATATATAAGTCTTGGATGTGCGGTTGAAGTTCTTTCCGGAAAGGAAGTTGATATAAATCCCGAGGTATTCAGGTCAACTGCTGTACGTAAAAGACCTAAACCTGTAAATTTATTATTGGAGAGTTTTGACGAGAGCAGTTCAATCGCAAAACTTGCTGATGTCAAACCAATAAAAACATTGCTTGACGACGATCCAGATTTACCAACTGACGCATTACCGTTAACAATTGTCACTCCTATTGAGATAAAACCTCAGCAAATTAAAAAAGAAAATACCAAAACTCCCGAACAAGATATCAGTCAAATTATTAACGAGTTTGATTCACCACTTATTTTATCTGAAACAGTCAATACACAATTACAGCTTGATGACGATATTGATGATGAGTTTGCTGCATTAGCTGCTGAATCATTGTCAAAATCTCCTTTACCCGAGGACGTTGATCCTTTTGATACGTCATTTGCAGATCATCTTGTGCCTACAATCAACAATCTCAAAATTGAAAGTGAACAATCCAATCCACAAGCTGACGATAAGGTAGCGGAAAAAGATTTTTTTGATACTGTCAGACCATTAAGTCTTGAACATAGAGATTTATTGGGTGGAAGTACAACTGATTTATCAGTTATTGGACATAATCCGATTAAACCCCATAATCCGGCATCTGAAACTACCCACATTGATCCATTTGATACATCTATTGCAGAAAGCTTATTACCTGGAAAAGGAGAATTAAAATTACTTGAAAAAGAATTATTAGAAGATTCTAAAACTATTTGTAAAAAAATAATTATTGAAGAAGACGACGATTTTGATCCAAGAGCTGAGGATATTGCTCGACCAGCTGAACTTAATCTAAAAGAGAAGAGAATTAGTATACCAAAAGTAACATTTGCCTTAGAAAAGGATTTGTTGACTGACGACCATCACGGTGAATTGCATGTAGCAAAACCGTTGACTCCGTATTACCCACAGGACCAACCAAACGAAGACAGTTTTGAAATCGATCCATTTGATACATCATATGTGAAACACGCACCGGGAGAAGTAGAATTAAAATTATTAGAAAGCGAATTAGTAGAAACTGAGCCCAAAAGTACAGATATACTGACTGAAGAAGAATTCATACCTCATATTCTTCATACACCTGTTGAACCAGAAATTGCTGTTCCCGAAGAAATTGATCCTTTTGACACTTCATTTGCAAACGACGCTGTGCCAAGTCAAACAGAAATAAAATTATTAGAATCTGAATTTATACATAAATAACATGGCTAACCCATTTTTATTTGATGACACAACATCTAACTTCACCGAAAGTAATAATACTTTTAATCCATTCTTAACTAATACATCAACTGAACCAGAATCTCATAATGATAATCCTTTCTTTTCAACATTTGGTGCATCAAACGCCATTCCAGACACTACAAATCCCTTTTTGGCGTTCACACAAAATCCTGAACCAGCTCAGTCAGTGGTTGATCTTTTGAATATTAATGACACTTCCCAAACTACTGTACAAGATGATGCATCCAAAATGAAACCGCCTCCACCGAGACCAGCTCCGCCAAAAAGACCACCACCAAGACCTACACCACCACCTCCACCTTTACATGAAGCTAAAGAACTCATTCTTAGTGTAACAGGAGAGATGGATGCGACTTCATCACATTTATTAGACAGATTGGGAAAAACACCAAGTCCGACTCCAATGCGGGACTTATTAACTCCAAGTCCTACGCCAACAGCTGATTTATTAGGGTGCGATGATCTCCAACCTCCCGTTAACTCTCAAACGTCGAGTGTTTTTGAACAACAATCCAATATTATTGACCTTCCTTCAGGATCAAAACCAGAAAGACCAAAATTTCCTCCGAAAATTGATTTTCTTATGGATGATTTACTAGAAGATGTTCCTATCAACGAAGGCATACGGCCTGAAGAGAGTTTAGAGAAAAGTAGAACCCCGTCGATCACAGAAAATTCACCATTACCTGAAGGATCAAAACCATCTTCAAGAAAATCTTCAAATGAATTTATTCTACCAGTAAGAAGATTATCTCATGATGTAACAGAATCCAGAAAAATAATGCCTGATTTAAGTAAAATAGCAGATCGTAGGAAGTCAGACATAGGTCATTTCGCACCGATATTACCTTCAAGAAAACCAACCAGCCAAAGCGATCAATCACTACTCGAAAGTAAATCTGAAAACATAATTCAAGAAATCAATGAGCCTGGAGATAAATCATCTAATGAAATACTTGAAAATACGCCAAATTCTAATTTAATACCAACTGAAGAAATTCCAGACCAAAAAGTAAAAGAAGAAACTATTCCTACAGTATCTGAAGAAATAAATAGTCAGTGGGATGAAGAAAAAAATGGATTAGACTTTGATTCTCAGCAACAAATAAAATCTTCTTGTCAAATTGAAACGGAAACTCCATCATCGAATGATACTAAATTAACACCATCTGCAACAGACCTTTCACCATTAGAATTGACAGAGAAAGAAAATTTATCTTTTAATGCCTTTTATGTAAATACAACATTACCGACATCTGAATCATTTCCTTCGTTTACTGATGGAGATGGAATAGGAGAAGAGCACGTAGATATTAATGCATACGATACAAAACCGATACCACCAGTGCCCGATCCATCGCCTTTCCAAGAAGCACCTACTCAAGAAACTTCATTTAACGCAGTATTTGAAGCTTCCGAGCCAACAGTAACTCCTCCGTTTGAAGATCAAAAACCGCAGCAATTAGATAACACACAACCAACTGTAATTGCAACTGAGCTTGAGTCATTCCCGATATCAACAGAGACTGAAAACCACGATGCATTCGATGCATTTGCTGCAAAGTTTGACGACTCTCAAAATGATTATAATGCATCTGGAGGGGCATTTGATGCATTTGGAAGTGTTTCGGTAGGAGCTTTAGATGATTCAACTGTGGGTTTTGGAAACGAGGACAACTTTGATTCGTTTTTATCAACTCATCAAATCCCCGCTGCACCACAGTCAACACCAGCTAAAGTTACGCGAAATAATTCCGGAGAATCTTTAGATGAAAATGACTTCAACGTTTTTATAAGGTAAGTGTAATTATAAATTACAATAATATATTATTTTAATTATAAAATTATACATTTTCAGACCTAAAACAGAATTCGACAACACCGATCAATCCGCCGTGCCTTCAATAGCTCCTCCGCCAAAAGTACCTATAAGTTTGTTTCAAGAAGGAACGCCTTCTAGATTCAATCCATTTGATCAAGAGCCCAATGAAACGAATTATACAAACCAAGGTATTATAGTTATTAGTTAAAAAAAATAAACTATAACATTCATAACATTAAAATATATTTTATATATATTTACTCTATTAGCTACATATTCCCCTCAAACTATTCCTCAACGAACTGATTCTCAAGAGACGCCTCCAAGTCCATTATTTGATGAAGATGTATCTCAACCCCTTGAAGAATTTCCAAGAGTCAATTACAATGGCGATGGCTGGGCAATGGAATTAAGACAACCAAATAAGAAAAAAATCACTGCTCACCGATTTTGGAAAAAAATATTTGTCAAAATCACATACCAGGGAGAAAATCCTGTCCTACAATTGTATAACACTAAAGATGATAAAGATCCATTCCAAGAATTACCATTGCAGCCCAGTTATTCCGTATCTGATATTGGTAAATAACTATTAAATAGTATATAACAATTTTTTAAGTGATAATCGTCAATGTTTATTATTTTTAGGAGCCCAACAATATGACCAATATGGTAAAATATTTACCGTTAAACTGTTATATATATTCTATAAAGAGAAAGCAGGATTTAGGCCTGGTCAAGTTACAAAAGCCGAGAGGCTAACTAACAAACTGAGTCAATTTGCAGCTTATGCTATTCAGGGTGATTATCAAGGTGTAAAAGAATTTGGTAGTGATTTGAAGAAATTAGGATTGCCCGTTGAACACGGAGCTCAAGTAAGAAATTAACAAATATTTACAATGTTTATGTGTCTTATAATAGTATGTTTATACTTAACAATAATTATTTACAGACAACGACACTGTTAAAATTGGGAAGTCATAATTATGAAGACATGAAACAGTTTAGTATTTGTATCGAAGAAGCCTTATTCAAGCTTTCTGCTCATCGTGATAGAGCATTGAACTATAAAGTAGAAGACGTGCAAATCACTGCTATTGATGAACTATTTGTTGACCAAAATTCACAAGGATCGGTACTAAAACAAATCGCACGAGTCCGTTTGTTCTTCTTAGCGTTCATGTGTGGTAAGTGTTCGAATACATTTATCAGTTTAATATTATTTTTCTATTTATTACTGATGATATTTTAGGAATGCCCGATGTTGAGCTGGGTGTAAATGATTTAGTTCGACAAGGCAAAGAAGTGGTCGGCCGTCACGACATCATTCCGGTAGTTACTGAAGAATGGATTCGATTAGAAGGGGTTGAATTCCACAATTGTGTTCAACAAGATGAATATGAGAGGACAAGAACTATAAAGTAACATTTTACGCTCGATTAATCAAAATATTTTATTTATTATTTTAAATTAATAGATTTAAGCCTCCGGACGCTTGTTACATCGAACTAATGAGATTTAGAGTCAGACCACCCAAAAACCGTGAGCTTCCATTACAATTAAAAACAACAATGTGCATAACGGGAAATAAAGTACTTAACTAATTTCATTAAAAAATATAACTTAATTTTTGTCATCGTATTGATTTAGAAATTAACACAACTAATAATTTTAGGTCGAACTAAAAGGAGATGTTCTCGTGCCAGGATTCACAAGCAGGAAATTGGGACAAGTGCCGTGTGAAGACGTAGCGATAAGATTTCCCATACCGGAATGTTGGATATATCTATTCAGAGTAGAGAAGCACTTTAGATATGGATCTGTGAAATCTGCACACAGAAGGTATTTAAAAAAATAAAATAAAACGTTTTAAAAAACTATTTACCAATAGCATGCCTATTTATTAATTTATTATTCTAACAGGACGGGCAAAGTAAAAGGTATCGACCGATTTCTCGGAACAATGGACAATCTCGAACCTCATTTGATTGAAGTGACATCTGGCGAGGCAAAGTACGAACATCACCACAGAGCTGTAGTATGGAGAATGCCGAGATTGCCAAAAGAAGGACAGGGTATGATATTGTGACATATAATACAACAATTACTGACCAATATAATATTGCGCATTTTTCTTCTCAGGCGCGTACACTACACACAATCTCGTGTGCCGTATGACGTTAACGTCGTACGACCAAGTTCCTGAGGAGCTTGATAAATATTGTTATGTTGAGTTCACGATGCCGACGACTCAGGTGTCACACACCACCGTTAGGTCGGTATCAATTGTAAACAGCGAGAAAGATTCGCCACCTGAAAAATACCTAAGACTGATGGCCAGGCATGAGTACAGGTAAATTATTTAAACATTCAATATTATTATTTATTAAATTGCTGGTAGAAATTTAATGCACAATGTGTAGGCGTGCTGACTAGTTAGGCAGGTACTTTTCTTGAACTTTTTAATCGAATATCGTTTTGTTGATATTTATAATTATTAGGATTGGGATTTTGATGCAAAGGCATCTTTTTTCTGATGTTTTGAAATATTGATTCATAAGTATAAAATGTGCTTTGAGTAATACTAATTATTTTAAAGTAATTTTTTTTTTTGCATTTTTTGACTAAATAAATCGTAAATGCTTTTTTAAAGCATTTTCTTAGTTTTTAGAGCATTTTTTCACAATTTGTTCATAAAATGAACAGAATTGTTGCTATTAACAAGAAACTTTCAACAAACTACCGACTGTATGAATAATAAATTATATAGCACAACAATAGTTATTATTGTCGATATTCAATAATAAATATTTTATCAAAGCTAGGTCTTTCTGTTAATGATTAAGATGAAATAGAAGAATATTCAACGTGCCTACTATAAAAAAAAATACACTACTTTAGTTTATTTTTAAATATTTTTTTCAATTTTCAGCTATAATGAATAAATTTAAATTCATTTTTATAGTGTATTTTTTAAATTTTTAAGCCATTTTCGCATTTTTTTTAAGGGAATTTTTTAGGGTATTAAAATCCCAGCCTTTATAATTATTATTGTTATTATTCATCGCCTATTTTTCACAGGGTGGAAATCGAACACATACACGGGCAGATCGAAGAAAACCCATACCTAGCAGCGACTGCAATGCCCAGAGCCACACAACAATCGTCAGAAACTAAACCACCACCGCCTCCTGCATCTGACAGTGATTCTTCTTCTTAAATAATATACCATTTAAATAATGAATGCTATAATGCTTTATAATAAATTGTTATAACGTTATACCATTCGTTGACATTCAATATTAGATTGTGATCTCTTCCTCTAAAGTTAGATTAACTCAACAATTATTGTTAAAAATACATATTTTATGTAATGACGTAATGTACATAATTAATTTAGTTTAGATTGATTTAACGTATTATCGTATACTCTGATACGATATTATCACGAAAAGCACATTAAATAAAAATATCCAAATTCGGATGCAAGCTGAATAAATGACTACTTAATACATATAATATATTTATATTTCAACTTGACGTCGAATCTGAAATTTAATGACTGTGCCGTACTTTACAAATAAAAAATTAGACGTTTTCATGGGCAAACAATTTTTTTTTGTTTTTTGTTAGTGGGCTTTTACGATGTCGAGTTTATAAGATGACAATAATACGCGTCGATATCATTTTACGATATATTCCTAAAACATTTTTTACGCTCATTTAAAATGCTTGGGGTGTCTCATTATTTTTACTATAGTGACTTTTTATATTAGCTGTAATGAATACGTGTTATTTTTCTCATATTTTGCCCGTGTCGTACATGTGCCATAATAATTATTTTGTCATAGGTTGTACGTAGGTAACAATAATACATAAAAAAATCTATGTTTATGTTCACCGAAAATATTAATTTTGTATATTCCTGTATACTACGTAAACAATAATAATTATTCATTACCTATACTTACTTAGTGTATTATTATTTCTATTTTATTTTGTTTAACGGGGTAACGTTGTACTTATTTGTTTTTCGGTCATGCCATTCCTGTGTAAATAATTTAATTCAATATTCCGTAAAACCATAACCATAAGCCACACTTACACGTCTAAAATAATTTAGCGACTACGAATTATATGTTAATAATATAATACGTTCGTTGTACATACATTTCGTAGGCTAGCATAAACGACTTATACTATCGATCGTTTGTTGAAACAAAATTAAACAATAATTACCTCTAAGAATATTACACCCATAAATACTCATCGACCGTAGTTGAAAACATAATGAAAAAACATTATTATCCATTATCCAAAACATTCGCGAGTCAACTGATATTATGCAGACCACGCGTGACTATAATACTAAATATAATAAAATTAAGAACGAAACTATTTATCAACTTGTCTATATAGGATCGTTTTAAAACAAAACGCTTTTTTTTTTCTTTTTCGGTTGCAGGAATATTGTATGGTATTATTAAACTACACCGATTCGAGTAACTGTAATATTTAAATTTTGGTCGCGCAATAACGCCTTTACGACTTGTTTGTCTGCCATCTTAACATTTCATACTATACATTCCGGACGGTGTTTTACCATGCAATTTAGAATATTTATATCTTTCGAACAGCAATATGAATTAATAATATTATTCGTAATAGTTATTGTTCCAAATACAGTGGTGTATATACAATACCGACTTTATTTTTAATTTCATGATGTCTTGTGTAAAATGTATTGTTCGTTTTTGTTGCATATCACGAAGGTATCGGAAACTTTTGAACGTGTTATTTGTTATTTTTACTTTATAAGACATGAAATATATATATTATTATTGTAATAACATTAACCATTAATATTACATTTAAAAAATATTAACTATTTATTTATATTGTTATTATATAGCTTTGATTGTTACAGTTAAGATTGAAAGGACAATGCATGGCCGTACGTCTGTCTTATCATATCTAAATATTTAGATACACCGAGATAAAAGACAAGTACCCATGTATTTATTCGGGATAAAAAATTATCGCATATATATTAGTTGAAATGTATCCATTATCCAATACCTACCGGTTGTTATTATGGCGTAGTGAATTTTAGATAATTAACTTCTTAGAAATTTGTCCCAAATGCGGGAGATAACTCGACATTCCGCGTTTAAGTCGTCAATATCGACATATTTCATGTTAAAATATTTAAACTATTAATATTATTATTATTATACGTACAAGCATAAAAATATTATTGTGATAAAACATTTTAGATGTTCCGTTATTAGAGTTTATTATTTGATTGCGTTATTGTTTTGTTATTCTTAACGGGGTTAAGTTTAATCGATTGCTGAAAAAATAATTTTGGGTTTTCGATTAAGACAATGAAAAATTATATTCAAATCTTTCCAATATTAATCTATTCCAACATGTTGTTTCGTTTGCGGCATACGAACACCTAAGTATTTTATTTATGTTGTGTTTGAATGTTTTTGTTTTTTAATAGTGTTTAAAAATGTTTGGATATTCGTTATTATTTACTTAACTATTATTAAACCTATTTAAATTATTATTATTATTATCATCATCATCGTAAGAATCACTTGATTTCTATCACATGTAAGAAACATTTTATTGTAAAGTATATTTTTTATTTAGTTCAGTATGTTTGTTATAATAATAAGTACACATAACGATATATTCATTATAAGTGTTTATAATATTATACTATGTATAAACGAGTATACAATATATTCAGTATTCAGTGTATAACTATATAAAACATATTTAAGACTAAATAAAAAAATAATTCTAAATCTATTTGTTGTTTTGTGTTTTTTTGATGCGAACATTGTTAATGTAAAGTAGGTATTTAATACCTACCAATTATTTAATACTTAATACGAGTATGAATTATATGAATAAATATGTATACAAATTATACTGAGCTGCAAACATTGCAAAATTGTTTAAGCGCATGTCGATAATTGTTTAGACCATAAGTTATTTGTATACTTATAGAATTACATACATACCTTGCCGCATGGAAAGATATTATAAATGATAGAAGTATAAATTGTCTCGTAAGTTATGACAATAATTAATGAAGGTTGAAATTATTTTTATTTTTTTTTCACATCGATTTATTATAGAAACAGTGAAAAATTCAATTAATGTATATTTAATAATTTTTATGATTTTTAAATTATGGGCATCAATTAGCTTATCCAGTGCTTGATTTGGGAGAAGTTTTCTTTCTTTTTAACTTTTTTTTAGCGTACCCCTTCTATTTATTTTAAATGGAACGCTGGGAACGCTACATTTACTATAGTAAATTTGTAAATCATCAGTTTTTCCGATGAAAAATAAATTGTTTTCCTAGTAGTGATAAGAAATTGTATTATGCCCACAGAAATCTAAACATATATCTATGATTTTGCCATAGATAATAGATATTATATTCTATGGATTATATCTTTAAATAAATCATAATATTAATTATAATGTCATTGGATGATAATATAACTCGACTAATTCCAATAATTACCAAAGTATAATTCGTCTTATCAGTATAAACCGTTAATTATACCACCGGTTCAGAAGCTTGTGAAAACCACAGATATATACTAATACTAGATAGCCGTCTTCTTGTTATCAGTGAAACACGCCGCCATATGCAAAGAATACTCTCGGTAAACAAACGTTATCACAAAAAAACAACAAAATAATATTATGATATTCTGTTCAGTCGTTCAGTATTCTAGTTGAATAATAAATTACTTATTGTTGGTAAATAGTAGTGCCTACTTACTTATATTTGTATTACCTACTGTTTAATAATTGTTATTTTTGTTAATAATATAAGTAATTATAATAAGGTAGTACCTGTAATTTATATCCTAGTATTTTTGACAATGTTTCCTTATTTCATATTTCATAATTCATAAAACATTACAATTTAGTTATATCCCAAATTTACGTAGATTAGTATAAATACATACTGTATAGGTTAATTAACAGTTTTGTCTAATACTATAAAACAGAGAACTGAAAAAGTGAGAATTAATAAAATATAGGTAAGTACTAAGTAATACAATGATATAAATAAATGTCTATAATATAATAATATGTATTATACTGATAAAAGTCTAATATTGATAACGTTTGTTTACCGAGTTGTATTCTTTGCATATGGCGTCGGTTTCAATTATTTTGCGGCGGTGTATACAAAGACGGCTATCTAGTATTAGTATATATCTGTGGTGAAAACAACGATGACTTCTGGCCAGTGAAAAGTGATAACAAAAAATAATTATTAAAGGTAATGTAAGTAATTTAACAGAGAATTTTCAACTTTTTGTGGAACGCTCATTCATCTAACATTCGCTGAATCTCCTTTCTAGTTTTTTTTTTTTTAAATCAAGCACTGAGCTTATCCTTATATATTTTAAACATCGATTAATCATAGATTTCTTTTCTCAAACACTGGACTGCCGGCAGTACAACAACTGATTAATGGATGTTACATATTACGGATTAAACAATTTGATAATTATAAGAAGGTAAGTACATATTATAAATAGACTAAACTAGAATGCATTTCAGTGCATCGCCCTTTGAATATAAGTTTGAATTTTCGCATTCATAATCATAAGCGTTCTAAAAAATAAAATATATTAACCAATATTTTAGCTCTATTTCGAATTATTTATACTCCATAGTAATATAAATATTGAGGAAATCCTTAAGTATTTTTTTGGAAATTGTTTGTTATTGTTTATAACGTAGTCATACGATAATAACATGTTTTGCAAATAATTTATGTTTAATTAAATTTCTAGCATAATAATATAAAAATTAAAAATAAAACTAAAAGTTTTGAAGTTTTATTTTCTCGAATACTGTTCAGAAAAAAAATAAAATATATCCATTGTCCACTTATTTCTTTAATTATCATCTATCTTAAATAAGATTTTTTTAAAACATATTAAAATATTAAATTATTTAACATCTTTATAATAGTTAATAAAGTTGACGGTTTATTATCATTTATACTTATATATATATATATAATTATATTTTAATTATAATACTAATTTATTCTTTTTTTATTAGTATTTGTTGCTATAAATTTTTATGTTTTAATTTTTGAATTGAAAAACTATGCAATATAGTTTAACAACATATAATATTTTATTACATAATATAATATTAATACTCATGTCATAAAATATACGCAAGTAATCAATAACAAATAAATAAAAATATTACAAACATAAATATAAAGTTTCAAACTATTTTAGTATATATTTCATTATTTCATAATTCATCAAGTATAATATAAATTATGATAATACAATTAGGTATACATATCACATGATTTACATTTAAATCTGCAACGAAAAAATGATTTAGAAGCAAACACTAAAAGTTGATTATCAAAGCTAAATATTCTTTTCATTTTTTTTAAACTTTAATATTTAATTTAATTATTTTATAATGTTATTTAATCGAAAATATTTAATGACGATATTCTTATTTCGCAATCATAAAAATATGACAGGATTTTCATTTAATTCATTATATCTTTTTTTTTATTTCTTGCTTTTGCGTTCATTCTTTGAGATCAGTTTTGACAACGGTTTACTTCGTTTCTCAGTTGAATCCTTTTTTAATTCATCTGGCAATTCATTCTTGCGTTTCAGATGTTGATTAGAGTAATAATTATGTTGTGTAATTTTTATCATTTCATCTGATTTATTATTTCGAAAGTCTTTACTTGTTTTTTTTCTCAGATATTGTTTTAATTCATTATCTCTTTTTTTTATTTTAGTATTCGGTTTTTGTTTTACTTGCCTACTTAAGAAGTTATCATATTTGATGGTAATGGCCTCATCGGTTGATTCTTCATTTATAGCGTCACGTGTATTCTCATCTGATTTATTATTTAAACTGTCTTTAAATTTTTTACCTTTCTTTTCCTTTTTAGTTTCAAACTTTTTCCTAGATTTCTTACTCTGGGATTCGTACAAATTATTATTATATTTATTATTTGAACTTGTATCCACTTTATTATTCAATTTCTGTTTTTTATGGTTATTTTTTAAATTGTTATCATGTCTGTTAGTTTCATCGGTATTTTCATTTTCAATTGAATCATTTAATTCCTCGTCTGATTCATCACTCGATTCTTCTTTCATTTTATTACTTACTTTACTATTAGATTTTTGATTCTGGTTTTTATTTTTTAAATTATTTGTATATATATCAAATTCATCACTATGTTCGTCGGCTATTAAATCATTTGACTCATCGTCTGATTCACCTCCACTTGATTCTTCTTTTAATTTATTACTTGAACTTTTACCCACATTATTACTTGGTTTTTGTTTTTTATGCTTATTATTAAAATTACTACGATAGTTATCTAATTTAAAATTAGGCGCTTTTTTTAATTTATTGCCTATTTTTTTTCTAACATGGCCGCTAGTTTTTTGTGTTACATTATATTTAATATCATCTAAGTCTTCGTCTAATTCTTCCGATTTGCTATTAGGTTCTATTTTTAATTTTTCATTAGGTGTTTTTTTTTGTTTATGATTATTAAGACCATTAGAAAACTTGTCTGATTGGTTGGATTGAGCTTCTTTTAATTTATTACTTAGTTTTTTATTTGTTATTTTACTACTAGAACTATATTCTTGATATTTTTTTTTAAAATTATTTTGAGATTTATCGACAATATTATATTTATGTTTATTGGAACTGCATGAATCATTTAATGTAATAGATTCACCAGTAGATTTATTAATAGTTTTATCGTCCTTGTTAATAACCATTTTCTCTACTAATTTATGCTTTACATGTTTAACTAATTCTTCATTACGGTGTTGATTCTTGAGCAATTTTGTATTTATGTCGCTATTTTTATTTTTTTTTAAATCGAATTCATGATCAATATTTTTACTTGATTCCAATTGTGGTGTATGATGTGATTTTTCATAAGTTACTTTTCTAGATTTTCGTATGTGACTGTGGTGATTTTTTTCTTTTTCATGTTTTTTAGAATATTTTTTTTTACGCTTTCGGCCATCGACATCCATTACCCAATAAAACGGAATTTCTACACTATTTAGATTGTTATTATAATTTATGTCATTATACTTATAAATATCCTCAGGATCTATTTTATTTGCTAAATTTAAATTATATGTGTCCATAGTCTCTTTCTTTTCCATTTCTTCTTTAGTTTTAGGTATACCATTATAATAAATGAATGGTAAATTACTTCTTGTTGATAATCTATAATCAAAATCTAGGTATGACAAAAAACGGAAAATACAAAAATTAGTAATTCTATAATTATTTAAATGCAAATTTTGTATAATTTAACATAATTGAGTTCATTTGCTAAATAATTAAATTAAATTTGTCAAAGACTTTTATAATATCATTTATTAAAGTATGGATAAAATTAATTATTAATCATATTTTGTTGTATCTGGACATTTTTGAAATAGGATGACGATGATATGTTATTATGCTTAAACTAATCGACAATGCTTCCTAGTAAAATATTGTAAATTAAATACGTAGGTAAATATTAAAAAGTTTGGATAAAATAATTTTAAAACATGTAATTTTTTTTACTTTTCATCAAGCTTTTCACTAACAATAATTTTTTTAATAATCATTATAATTTATTCATTAAATATTATGTATTGTCTATAATTAAACGCATTTAAGATTTTTGTATGACAATTTAGAACGTTATATTACATTATATTAATTTTTTTCAAATTTTAAATATTAATTGTTTTTTAATTCATTAAAAACCAAATGAACTAATAATAACTTACAATTTAAAGAGACATTTTATATACGAAATTTTTCTCAGTGTTTTATTTTTAATTATATTTTAATGAACGAAATTAACATTATGTAATTGTATTAAAATTTAATTTATAACCAATAGTTCGGTTATTATTGGTTCATGATTTTATTTAAACAAATTTAATAATTTATTTTAAAAACCTGATCCAATAATTATAATAATTATATTATAGCTCAGTGGTGTCATTTAAGACGATCCGGGTGTACAGTTGCACCCCTTTTAAAATAGTGTTAATTGGTATGTGCCCTGCTGAGATAATGCTCAAAATTCAATTTTCTTAAATTATACTTTTATTTTTATTTTAACATTTATCAATATTAATATAGGTACTATTAATTACGATTACAAATATAAATTACATTGGTTATAAATAAATATCATGGTATCAATAAATGAAGTAGACAAGATAACATGGTATTTATTATTGTTTAAAAAAAATATTTGTATCATTGTTTTTATCATATTTTACACCGCATATGGTAATAACTACGATTTAAAGAGTATCTATCTATAATAATGACTGATATTTATTAACGATAGTCGATAATAAACTATAATAATATTATAAAATCCACACAACAGTTTACATTGTTAGATTACAAAAATAAGTAAATACTTAGTTAAATTATAAGTATAAATAAACGAAAATTTATAAATAATGTAGGTATTAAGTACTTTTTTTTATTTACTGCTGCTGTTTTTCTTCTATCTTTTTTGTATTAGTTATTAGTTTTCACTATTAAAATAATTAATGATGCATTACATTTTAATTTTTAAATTGATTTTTGCTATTTATATTGATGCAATGATTTGGTTCACAATGTATGAAAATAATTGAAAACAGGATAATGTACAAATAGTACGTATATCTATTTTTATATGGTCCTGTGAAATTTCAAAATGGCCTGCTTGAAACCTCACACACACGAAAAAAACTTAAAATGTCGCCCTTATAGATATTATGCCGTAGAAAATTAGTTTGCTTACGTTTTGAAGTAACAGAAGATCTATATAGTATTGTTTGCGATATTATAATCCATAAAATAAACTTATGAGTTGTAAAGAATACAATGCAATTCTGGCAGAAATTCATTTTTATTTAATATTTGGTTTATTTCTTAAAACTGAATGAATAACACAACTATAAAACATTAGTGTTAACTAATAAATAACACATAATTTTGCTCAACAGCAATGTAATTTTTATAACATATGTTTGAATAATTAGTTAAAATATATTCATAACATGCAATACAATCAGGACCGATGCATGGTTAAATAACATCCCAGACCAAAATACCAACTGGCGCCTTTTTCACACAACAACCAATAATACCATAATACTCAGAAAAAATGTTGTTCATGGACAGTTATTTGGACAGTCTTATTAAAAAAAAATAAAAAAAAATAGCATATTATGAAGAAATATAAAAGGTAATAGGTATTATAGGCATATATAAATACAAAATACCTATAAATACTAATTTTACAAATAAATAATGCAGAAATGGTTGTAAATAATGTAAATTAATAATAAATGGAAATAAAACATGACATAAATAAAATATTAATTTAAATTTGTTATCAATCACACTTTCCTCAATTTTCTCTTGGTAAAACTCTATATAACTATAGAAAAATCAATTTTTGTAGCTATTTGGTTTTCTATAGATAAAATCGATAATGAGACCAAAGGTTTATTAGCCATAGTAGATCGCAAGTATGTTTTTATGAGTTTTAATTGGAGAAACTTCGCTCATCACTAGCTACTCTGTCACTGATAACGTCAATAATAATCTTAAAGCAATCCAAAGGTTTGGAAATATGTTTTGGAGTTCAACGTCAAAAATGTATTGGAAAATATTAAGAGGTGAACATATGTATAAACAAGAAATTAACAATTACTTAACGTTTAGAATCTCTGTGTAAAATTCAATATCATCAATATTAGATTTAAATTCATATTTAAGGTGATTATATAGATCCATACAATGTTTTAATAACTAGTTTTCATTTTCAAGTGCAATTTATATCGTACAAAAAATGTCATAAATCAACATGGATCTTTAAAAGTTTAAAACGATCTATCAATGATGTAGTAACAACGTCCATTAATGTGTATAAAATGCATGTTTAAGTTTTTCTACAACTGCAGTTCTATGATGAGCATCATCTTAACGTACATGAAGAAAGTTTTTTTTAATACACTTCGGAATATTCTTATTTCAGAATCTATCCTTAATTTATCTGCTATTGTTTTTACTTTAATCAAAATCTAATCGAATTGATTTCTATAGTTCTTAATAAACTATTAAACACTTTTTATCATATTAGACCCATTTAATGATTCCATTGCTTTTGCTTGCATACTTTAAACTTTTACTGACTAGATTTAATTGAAAAAGAACATGGTACCAAATAGCCAATGATATTAGGAACTTAAAATTTGCGAAACACCTTAATGGCGCTTTCTAGCATCTATGTTTTCAACTTCAGATAGTTTAATAAGCGCATTGTATTGCTCGGTTTGAAAGCGAACAACTTTTACACTGTTGACTTTACTTTCCCAACTGAAATTCACCTAGAGGTTTTATGCCGTACTTCTATTTTTATTATTTATTATGTTCTTATTGATTAGATTAATGTGACGTCAGATGAACTTATTGTTGACACGTATAGACACTTAGGTATAGGAACATTACTTTAGGTTTTTTTTTTCGGGTGTAATAGGTTTCAAGCAGGCCATTTTTAAATTTCTCCAGGCTATATTAAAATAGATATACATTATCCTGCTTTCAATTATTTCCATACATCGCATGGATCGAGTCACATTGCATCAATATAAACAGTAAAAATCAAGTTAAAAACTAAAATATAATAAATAATTAACAATCAATATATTTGACAATATACCAATATTGATAAATGTCAATAAAATATTAAAATACAATTTAAGAGCATTATCTCAACAAGGCGCATCATAAATGCAATTATACAATGAAAAAAATTGTTCATTCAAAATAATTAAAAATAAATTTTAATAGTATTTAAAAAAATGAAATGTTATTAAAAGTGCATTAAACCGTATTTTTTAGGGCATTTTTCTTGTTTTTTAGAGCATTTAAATGCATTCCCTAGTTATTATTTATTAGTTTTTATCATGTTCCACCATTTCGTAATAAATCAGTTTCGAAATGACTAATGCACAAACATTTTAGTTTTTTATAGTATCTATTATTTTATTTCCAAAATATTATTTTAGTTTATTTCTATTTATATTCAAAAACATTTAGATACTTATTTATTTTTTTTATTACCTTTCCGAATATTTTATACACGTGCTCCCATGTATTTTATCTATTCAATTTCATTATTTCCTTTAACAGTTCACATACCGATGTATTTGATATTTTTCAATATCCAAAGAATAAAAAAATTTTCAACTAGCAAGTCATAAATTTAAATTTATTCACCTGATATATTTTAATATCCAATGTTTTGTTTGATTTAATAATGTTCAACATTGTAAACCGTTATAGGTACCTTGTACGATCGAATTTCTGTCAGTGATTATTGCCGGGAAGTTATCCAGACAGCTAAAAAACATTACTTTAAGATTAAATAATTACTTATTATACAATCTATAGAATGTGTAAAATATTAAATGTGAAATTTTTAATGTCTATAAAATAAACCCAGTAATTTTATTTGGCCGGGCAAAAATGTTTATTTGATAATGAATTTACAATGTTATGTGCATATTGTGTTTTACCAACATTAAATGGATTTTAAAAATCAACTTGAATAGATATTATACAATTTATTTTAAATATTTAAAAAATATGATTACAGTATGAATTTTTCTAATATCCATTAAATAAACTTATAATAGTATTAAATTCATAATTATATAACATTAAACAATATTAAAGATATCCAGTTGAATAAATATTGCTTATATATTATGTTAATTATATTAATGAAAAATACTTTAAAGTAGCAATTCTTATACTCTGATCCATTATTGGATTCTTGGTGGTCTGTAAAAAGTCGGGAATTTTGAGTAGGCTCTATCGGAATTTCAGGTCTAGACATAAAAAATGAAATATTTTGTAGATTAAAGTTATTTAGAAGGAATTTATTGTAAAGGGGGATTTGGTATTCATATATATATATTTTTTATCAGTAATCTATGTTCTATAAAAGTTTAAAACTATAGTTAAAACATCATTGTCATTAATGTTGCTTTAGTATTTAAATTTATTCATACAACATACCTGTACAATATGTATAGTTATAATTTAAATTAATGTTAAGAATCGTTTCAATACTATTTTGCTGAAACCATGACAGGTTTGTTGTAATACACTATTGCATATTAATTAACTTGAAAAACCTTGTACTCTTTTAACTGTTTTATGTATATTAATTTTGCAGGCAGATTATTAGAAACTTTTAATTAAAATTAGAAATTAGTACTAATAATAATGATTTCATTAATTGTTTATTTAATTATATTTCAACGAAAAAACTTAGAATATCATATAATAATAATTAATAAAATATATAATAAAAATAATAAATTAATCTATCAAGTACAGATATTTTTGTCTTCTGGTTAATCTAAGTTTATTGTTGATTTTTTTTTTAAACAATTAATGGTCTTTGGCCAAGTACCTTTGGGTGGCATCTCCTATTTCCCTACCTTGAAATGGTAGCTAAGACCCCTGACCGACGACTTAGATGTGAAGGTGTGGACTGATTAGGCGATTGGCGTTCGATGGCTAAAACGGAACGCGCGTCGGTGCTATCAGCTGCGGCTAAGTGGTAGGTTACACGTTACCTTTACACGAACTTATAGTGGAAAAACGGCGGCGGCGGCGGCACCTGACGTCGGAACGCTACGCAGGTAATCAGTGGCGGCGATGACGCACACGCGATATAACAATAAAGTTTGTAATTTCTACGGAGGTAGAATTACACGCTGACGGCGATGGCGCACACATGATTATCGGCAGCAACGTTGGCGTACGATGATAATAATAATGTTATGTAGGTACTAATAAAGTGTATTTTCTATGGAGGTAGAATTACCAGTGGCGGCGATGGCGCACGACAATACAGCATTAAGTATATAAAAACAAAACAAAAAAGTGCAACAACGGAAAACACTGGAAAACGAACGAACACGTGTACTAACGAAAAAACGAAACGAACGACGGCAGCGCTTTATCATGACGTAATATGTACCATCAAGTTCGCATCAGTAGGTGTCACAGTAATGTGGTAACGGTTAGTAAAATAAAGTATAATTAATATATAAAAAAAAAAAATAACGAAAGGAAAAAATTATCTAAAATAAATGAATATTTTTTTTTTTTATATTAAAATGCTAAAAATGTTTTAATTAATTTTTTTTATTTACCTAACTTGATTTTTAGGAAAGAAAAGCTTTAATTTTTAAGAGATTTAATTAAAATTTTTAATTTAATTACAAATTACCAGGGTTTCGTGAAACATTAGGAGCATAATATAATATTGAACCCCCGAGGAAGGTATTTTAAAATAAAATTTTTGTATTTATTATTTCATATTATTAATGAAAAAATAATGTAACAAATCGATATACAAATTTTAAAGTAAACTATAAACTAATATTTAATATTTTTATATTGATTTTTAATATTTTGTTGTCATTAGAATAAGGCTAAGTTTTTGTTTATAAAAATAAATTAGATCCTTTAATTTTCATAATTAAGTTTTATTATTATAAATTAATAATTCAAAAGAATTAAAAATTATAACTTTAATTAGTATAGTTAACTCCCGGTAAAACAAAGTTCGATATAACGTATAAAACTGTCGTTCTCTTGGAAAGCTTGTGATATAACAAAAAACTAAATGTATTTTTGTACCTTCGATATAACGAAGCTTTTTGGCCAAAGCTCTCGCAATGTAATGAATTTTACAAAATGTATTTCGACTATTATCAATCAATAAGATACAATTCATATCGCTGTTATATATTATACATATCAAACGTTGACTAGTATATAAATGACTAGGTATACAAAACTTTTGTTGCCATCGACGACGAGTTGGCC